TGCCACTGGCTGTGGGGGGTGGGGAGCCCTGGTCCCCAGCGCAGGAGCAGCCTCTGCCACAACCACATCATTTCCCCCCAAAAACCACAGCTGCAGGAAGCAGCAGGAGGTCTCAGAGGCGTGGAGGGGAGTGTGGCCTTTCTTGTGTTTGGAAAAACTGTCTTTCTCCCCTCCCACGCTGCTCACCTGCTCCAGCCAGAGCCAGGGAGCTGCAGCCTGCACAGGGACGTGCTGCAACTTCCCATTTCGGTGACTTTCCCTCTAGACCAGCCCTTCCCACTGCCTGGCTAATGGCTGGCAACAGATCTGTTGGCTTCTAATTACATCTTTTTATAACTGTGGCCACTGTTCAGCCCAGTTACCTCTTCTTTTTTCTTCTTTTTGATTATTTCTTTTTTTTTCTTTGGCATTACATGTTCTCTGTTCTGCAAAATCAGCTCAACGTGCTCCCCAGGAGCAAAACAATCTTATTTGTCCCTGCCTGTTCCTGTCTCCAGCTGTTTGACAGCTGTGCTTCAGCTCAGGCTCAGCCTGGGATTGAGCTTTATCTGTTGAGCTCTGAGGTGTTGATGAGCCCAGTGGATTAAAGTTGCATCTTCCTGCCTCGATCCCCCATGTTGGAGGGGCTGCAGGTGCCAGGGGGGTGCCAGGGCTCCCAGCTTTGGGGCACGGGGGTTCAGGGGGTTGTGTGGAGATGCTGGAGGACACAAACTATGAGAACAAGTGGGAATCAATGTAAATGGTACGGAGTGAGTGTTAATATTTGTTATTTAATTGTAGAAACCTAGGTCATGCTGTTCCTTTTTCTTCTACTTTTTGCTTTATTTGCACTAGTGTTTGAAATATTGTTTTAGCCTGACTTGCTGTCTGGCTGCTAACACGGGGTTTCAAAAATGGATCAGCAGTTTGGTGAGCCTGTCAGTGACAGGGACAGCATTTGGTGGCAGCTCTGACCTCATTTCTGGAGAACAAATGCAGAGGGGGATGATGGTTGCAGCGTGCGAGGCCTCAGAGCTGTGGAGCACCAAGGTCTTTTGTTGCTTGATAATTGCAAACTTTCCTCGGGCCTGGGATGGTAAAGCAGAAGCTTGTTGCACAATTAGGGTTAATTAACCAGGAGGAGAAGCTACCAGTGGCTCCAGTGCTCTTGCAACATTCCTGTTTCTCATTCCCACCCTCCTGCATCCCCAGGACAGCGTAAGGGCTGAGTGTGCAGCCGGTGTGTCGGATGCCAAGCCGGGCTCCAGACCCGTCCCTGATGCCTGTGGGGTTGTGGGCAGGAATTTCCCTCCCATCCCCAGGGACTGGCAGGTGCAGCCAGCCCTCCCTGGAGCTCTGCAGTGATTTTTAAAAACAAACTGGTGTCTCCCACCTCTGCATCTGCCTCCTGGCTCCGAGAGCAGCCGGGGGGGGGATGCGCCCGTTTGTTGTGTGTGTCATTTCCCTGCCTTCCCAGGGATGTGTGCAGCAGGAAGAGTGATGTGAGGAATGGGTTTGCCCTTTCCTAGGGAAACTCCCAAGTGTCTTTGGCTGTTTCCCTGAGTGCTGGCTGGGGATTTCAAGTGCTCTTAGGGCCAGGGAGTCTTGTGTGGGTGACGCTCTGGAGCTCCCGTGGTGTCTGTTCCTCCCACCTTCCCGTATGTGCTGCAGGAGATGGAGCCTGTTTTCCCTGGGTTTTTAAATAAAGAAGGAAATCCCAGTATCTTTTCCAGGCTGTCTGTTGGCTTTGTGTATTTTGGGTAGTGATTGCTGGGGTCGGGGTCAGGGCTGGGGGACCTCATGGGGCCAGCAGGGGTGCTCCCCAGGGAAGGGGAGCAGTGATGGTGCTGGGGGGGCTCTGGGGCTGCTGCAAGGGGCACAGTCCTGCACTGAGGGGCTGTTGTGGCCTCTTAATTTGAAAAAAATGTTGATCTTGTCACTGCCAGAAAATGAGGAGCCAGAGCAGGGCAAGAGGCACCCCTGGCTCCTGGGGCGTGTGTTTGATGAGGAACATGACAGGTCACAGCAGACCTGTCCATCTCCAGGCCACGTCCACCCTCCCAGCCTGAGGTGAGTTCAGTTTTGTTGCTGCTGCTCAGGCAGCTCCAGCTGTTGCAGCTGTGAGGTGGGCACGGGTGCTGCATCCAGGTCTGGGCTCCCCAGTTCAAGAGAGACAGGGCACTGCTGAGGAGAGTCCAGTGGAGGGGATCAGTGATGACTGGGGGACTGGAGCATCTCCCTTGTGAGGAAAGGCTGAGTGAGCTGGGACAGTTCAGCCAGGAGAAGAGAAGGCTGAGGGGGGACCTGGAAGTATCTCAGGGTGGGTGCAGGAGGATGGAGCCAGACTCTGCTCAGTAGAGCCCAGGGACAGGATGAGGGGCAATGGGCATGAGTTGGAATGCAGAAAGTTCCATTCAAATACAAGAAGAAAAGCTCTTTTCTGTGAGGGTGACAGAGCCCTGGGACAGGCTGCCCAGGGGGTTGTGGAGTCCTTTTCTCTGGAGATGTTCAAGACCTCCATGGATGCAGCCCTGTGGGATGTGCTCCAGGTCATCCTGCTTTAGCAGGAGGGTTGGACTGGATGATCTTTAGAGGTCCCTTCCAACTCTGGCAGCTCCATAATTCCAGAGGGGTTCTGGAGGGGGTGGCTGGAAGGTCCTGGCTCTCTTGGCCATTCCAGGAACACGGGCAGGAGGAGAGTTGAGGGATCAACCCCCTGGGGTTCCTCAGCAGGGTCCGTGACAGCCCCACAGATGGAAGGAATGTGAGGTCCTGCTGTTGGGCTGGCAGCTGCTGGGCTGAGGACATGGGGAGTTGTTAATGATTATGAGCTTTTGCACACAGGATTATTATTATTTTTCTTGCTCCCTGCATAATTTTTTCCCCACCGCGGGCTCTTCTGCCCTGTGGTTTCACTGCTCCAAAGAATGTGGCAGTTCCATGATGGAGCCTCCTCCCACCCCACTGCCCTGAGGCCCATGCAGAACTGCCAAGATCATATTATTTGTGACCTAAATGGGATCTAAACCCCATTCCCCAGAGAGGAGTTGTAATAAACCACAAAACAGAACTGGAATAGGCAGAATTCCCAGGCAGATTGAACCCTGTTGCAGCTCTGTTGGAGGCAGAAGTGAGACAGGCAGAAATTTGTCATGCCAAGGGCTGGAGGGTTTGCAGAACTGAGGGGAGAGTGCAGGTTTGCTCTATTTGCTGTCAAATGTGCCTGGAGTTTTGCATATACAGATTTTGTCTGGTTCTGGCTGTGACTTTCTGCAGCTTCTTTTTCCCCTTTTTATTCAGCTCAGTGAGTTTTTCAGCCTGCAGCTGGTGGAGCTTCCTCTTTTGAGTGTGAGGCTGTTCAGAGCTCCTCTCCTCTCAGTGCCAGGGGTGACCAGCATGGAGGGAGTTACCCCTCAGCAGCTCCAGCCCCTTCCCAGCTCCCCAGTAGTTCCCTGCTCTTCCCAGCAGCTCCATATGGAAATGAGCCTTCTGCCACTAATGAGGCAAGGCTGGTGTTGGGCAGTTTTGTAAAACACAAATGGTTGCCACTGCATGGACATGGGCTTAAAGAATCCAACTCAGCAGCAGGGAAAGGGAATGTGACCTCCTGCCACTGCAGGTTTTGAAAAGCAGTCCCTGTGAAGGGCAGGAGGGGGGGAAACAGGTGATTTGAAATGTGGGGTGGCTGCAGTGTCCCACGGGTGACATGTCTGCAACAGGAGCAGGGCAGGAGGGTTACACCAAGAGACTTCCCCACAGCCACTTTATTTGCTGCCTGCAGCTTTCCCTGCCAGTGGAGAGCAGGAGGTGATGTTCTCCAGAGGGTGCAGGTTCCACTGAATCCCCCCCCGGCCTCCCCTGCAGCCAGTGAACAGTTTTAAACAAAAAATACAGAATTAGAGCTCATAGCTTTGCCACAATCTCTACAACATTGTGTTAACCTTAAAGGTTTGCAAAGTCTAGTGCCACAAAACCACAGCCCAGTGGCCTGTGACTCCATGTACATGGAGTCAGCTCCTTCCAGACTTTATTAAGCCTTGTTTGACCCCCTGTTTGCAAGGCCTGATTTCTTAAGCTGTCACTGCTTGTGGGCTAAATCCACATTATTTTAGACAAGCAAAATACATACTGAACCACTTTGTGTCCAAGGTTTGCACAGAGGAATTAACAGGAATAGTTCTGCACATTAAGTTTTAGAGCTTTGTAAATCCACTTGTGTGAAGGCAGGATCTCCTGATGCTGCTGGACAAGCAGAGGAGCCTGTTCCCAGTCCTGTGGGACAGCAGCAGGTCCATCCCCTGCCCTGCACAGACACTGCTGGTCTCTCAGGCCAGCCCTGCTCCCTCAGTACACGGTGCACCAGTTGCTGCCGTCGCTGGGCATCAGCCCCCCGGTGATGAGGAGGATCAGATCCACAAACCACCAGATCCCCAGCCCCCCCAGGGTCAGCAGCTTCCCCACCGCCGTCCCGGTGTGGCCCAGGCAGAAACGATCCACTCCGAAGCAACCCAGGAAAAACGAGTAGAGCAGAGTGGTTATGAAATAATGTCCAGTGTACCTGCAAGGGGAGAGGGGGGTCGGGGGGAGCCGGGGGGGGAGCCCCGCACCGAGGC